GACCCACCCGCGACTCACCCGCGACTCATCCCGCGACACGCCCGCGACCCGCCCGCGACCCAACCGCGACCCTCCTGCGACCCACCCGCGATTACCCGCGAACCAATCGCGACCCACCCGCGACCCACCCGCGACCCGCCCGCGACTCACCCGCGACCCACCCGCAACCCACCCGCGACCCACCCCGCGACCCAACTCGCGACCCATCCTCGACTCGCCCGCGACCCACGCGCATCTGCCCCTCTCTCTTATCCACAATTGCGGTGTGCTACATGTTATAACCCACTTCCACGTCATCTTTCATGCACCGAAGCTGCTCCCAGGGGTCCCCAGGCCGAAGACCAACAGGGGCACCTGAAATGCACTAAGTTTCCCTTCCCCCTGGGGCCTCCCCAGGGCCGCCTGGGAGCCTCTACGGAGCTTCCCCGGCCACCCTGGAGCTTCCAGGTAGGTTCCAAATCGGTCACGGACGGGCCCGTCAAGCCGGCCAACAGGCCTCGAATACGCTCCGAAACGGTTCCATGAGGATCCCCGAGAGGACCCCCGAGAGGACCCCCGAGAGGGCCCGAGAGGGCCCAAATTCTTTTTGGGAAACGCCCATGTCTAGCGATGTTTATTGAATTGCACAGCGTCCAAGACGGCCCAAGAGGCTTCCAACAGAGCCTCAAAACGGCCCAAGAGGTCCTTAAGAGGGCCCCAAGGGGCCTAAGAGGCCGAAGAGGCACCCAAAAGGCCCCAAGACGGCCTAAAGGGCCCCTAGACGGCCTAAGAGGCACCCATGATCGCCCAAGACGGCCCCAAGAGGGCCCCAAGAGGGGCCCCAGGGGGCAATCCGAACCTACATGTCGAGGCCTCCGCCCCAAGAGGACCCCGAAGACCGCCAGCAGGCGCCCAAGGACTCCCCAAGAGGACCCAAGTGCCCCAATACCCCAAAGAGGCCCCGAAAGGCGCCCCAAGAGGCTTCAAAGCTGTTTCCAATAGGCTACCCAGAGGCTTCCCCAGAGACCCAGACAGGCATTCAAGAGGTCGCATAGCAACAACCCAGGCACGGTGGCAGGATGAGCAGAAGGCCGCTAGGAGGGGCACGCGTGGACGAGGGGCACGGTGGTCCCTCCTCTCTGTCTTTCTCCTGCTCTACCTTTTCAAAGACTCCGCTTCTCCTCCTGCTCCTGCCCCTCCTTCCCGTGCCCCCCTTGCCCCTCTTGCCCTCATCATGTCTTGTCCTCTCCGAAGCATTATTCAGGCATCCAAACTCGTCTCCTTCTCGACCTCGTCCTCTTCCCTCTACATTCCCCCTTCCCTCCTCCCCTGGGCCCGCATGGTGGCGCCGCACCAACTTCGGCACACCTCACACGCTTCATGACCCCATGGGAACGGAGGATGCATGAGAGGTGGGACCCCCTATCATCTCTTGTCCTCTTTGCAGCATCCCCCAGGCATCCAAACGCATCTGCTCCTCGACGTCGCCTTCCTCTTTTCGTGCTTCCTCTTTCTCTCCTCTCCTGGGCCCGACACCTCACGTGTCCTAACCCCATGGGGGCACCCATTTCCGTTTCGTCGGATCTTCATCCGTTTCTTCTTCCGTAATGTGTTCTCCTTCGCTAGTTCTCTCTCCTATACGTCATGTGTTGTTGGTAGCGGTGTCCGTGATGAAGATGACGAGGATGAAGGTTATGATGCTCATGAGAAGGGTCAAAGTGATACGAAGGCGATAATGGTGATTCTGACGATCATGATGACGACCATGATGATACTGATGCTGATGCTGCTACTGATATTGATGAGGATGATGATGCCGATGCTGATGATGATGCTGCCGATGATGATGATGATGACGACGAGGAGAAAGCGGAGGATACGAGAACGAGGGGCGAAAACGATGATTTCCGCACTTCACGCCTTCAACAACGAAGACATCAGCTCTGTGACTCGAGATGCCATTTCATTAGCGCATAGTTCTGCTCATTCTCATCTTATTAATTCTGCTCGTCTTCCGTGACCTCCTCCTCTTCCTCCATTCTTCCTCTTCCTCTCACTTCTGTGACTTCCGCCCGCCTTCCGTGATCTTCTCCCTCTCTCTTCCTTCTTTCTCCTTGCCTTTCCAGATTCTATAGGCTTACGCCACATCCGCCGACCCCTCATCTTGGCGGTCTTGCCGGAACCTCGGGTTCACAGCCCGCAGTTGCCAGGCGTATCAGTGCGGCGGCGCGTGCAAGAGAAGACTACCGACGTCGGCGTTCTCCGGGAACCCTGCCAACGTCGCACGCGATGCAAAAAAGGGCACCCTGATATGTAAGACCTGCAAATGATGCCCAATCGGGGGCGCGCGTGCGGGGGAGGACAGGGGGGAGGGGGAGAGAGGGATGGGGGGTGAGGCGGAGGATGGGGGGAGAAGAATCGGGGAGGAAGAGGAGGAGGCGGGGGAGGAAGAGGAGGAGTGGGCGAGGAGGAGGTGGAGGAGGAGGAGAAGAGGGGGAGGACGGGGACACAGAGACGAAACTCTGGGATATGTGCTATTGGTTAGAAACTTGTTGTATGTGTATAGGGATCTCGCGGCACGCCTCTCGGGGACCTTTGGAAAGCAGTTTTGAACCCACCTGGCGGCCGAGGTGGAGGAGGAGGAGGAGGAGAAGGAGGAAGGGGACACAGAAACAAGGCTCTGGGTTATGGGTTTTGGGTTAGGGCCGTCTTGCACCAGCTTGGGACCAATTTGGAGACAGGTTTTGCCGTCTTGGGGTCGTCTTAGGCCGAATTGGGAGGCGTCCTGGGCCGTGTTGGGATTCTCTGGGGCCGTCTTGAGGCCCTCTTGGGGCGCCGTGGGGCGATCTTGGAGGCTCTTTGGGCTACGTGAGCCGACGGAAGCCGGGAAAGGCAACAATTGCAAACATGTTCAACAACGCAATGGAAATGTAATGAAATGCGTAATGTGCGCCTCTTTCAGATGTCCTGGGGGTCTTCTTGGAGACTTCGTGGGCGATAGTGAAAGCCTTGTCGGCCATCTTGAGGCCATTTTGGGCCGTCTTCGAACGTTCTTGGGCCGTGTTGGAGCCATCTTGGGCCGTTTTGGAGCCATCCTGGGCCGTTTTGGAGCAATCTTGGCCTCGAGAGCGCGAATCATTTTTTTGTGCGCAAACGCAACCCCGCCACCGTGCCTGGGTTGTTGATATGAGACTTGTGCGGTGATCGTTGGGATCTCTTGGGGGGCTTTTCGCGGGACTCTTGGAGGCAGTTTCGAAGCCTCTTGGGGGCCGTTTTGGAGCCTCTTGGGGGCCTCTTGGGGCCTCTTGTGGGCGTCTTGGGGGCCTCTTGGGGCCTCTTGGGGCCTTCTGGGGCCGCCTTGGGGCGGAAGGCTCGGATTGTCGGTTCGGGCTCCCCCTCTTGGGCACCTCTTGGGGCCGTCTTGGGGCCCTCTTGGGCTGTCTTGGGGGCCTCTTGGGCCGTCTTGGCGCCCTCCTGGGCCGACTTGGGCGCCTCTTGGGGGCCTCTCGGGGCGGTCTTGGGGTGCTCTGGGACCGTCTTCAACGCCGTGAAGGCCGAGAAGTAGTATGTGATCAAAATGTACGTTTTCCCATAGGAATTGACGATTTTCGGCGCTTCGGCCCTTCTGAGGACTGCTCTTGGAGGCGTCTTGGGCCGTCTTGGAGGCCTCTAGGCTCGTCTTGGGGGCATCTTGGGCGTCTGGGAGCGCTCGTTTGGCGCCTCGGAGCTCTCGTGAGCCGTCTTGGAGGAGTCTTGGGGCCTTCTTGGCCCGTCTTGATCCCCTTTTGGGCCCAAAAGAGCCCCGTGGTGCGCTCGTCTGCGGCCCGGGGGGGGGGGGTCAAATCTCCGGTTTGGGGTCCCAGGGGGGGGGTTAGGGGGGGGGAACTATCTCACACGCCTAGAGACCCACAAGGGGTCGGCGGATTGCCCTCTCTTCTTCATTTCCCGTCCTCTCTCCACCTCACCCTCCCCCTCCCTCCTCCTCCCATGGCCCCTCGTCTCTTCCCGCCACCGGCCGTGACTCCACGCGCCCTCCATCTTCTCCCTCCCGCACTCGTAGTTGCTGGGCAGGACGGTGGCAAGGGACGGCAAGGGAGTGAATCGGCGATTCCTGTGTGCTTCTGGTCTTTCAACATCGGCGGTTCTTGACCCTCAGCGTGCCTTCCGCATTGAGGCGTGGGCTTCTTTCTTGCTCGCGATCAACTGTCATTCGGCTTTTGGCCCCTCGCCGGCTCGGTTCTGGGACGGGTTGAGCTTAGACGCGGTGGCCTCGACGCCGAGGGTGCCCAACTCTTTCCAGCGCGGCCCCTCGTCCGCCATCGTGCCAGAAACCCGACCCCGAGGGACCTGGGGCCGGAGCGCACGAGGGGCCGCCGGAGTGTGCTGAGTTCTCCCTCCGCCCCCCCCCAGAGCTTCCAAGTAAGTTCCATGGGGGCCACGTGGAGGCCAAGACGGATTCTGGGCGGCGCAAGATGGCTTCAATGCGGCCTAAAAAGGCCCGCAAGACGACCCAAGGCGGTTCCAAGAGGACCCCCGAGAGGGCCCCGCAGGCAAACATCATTCCATTTTCTTCGGGAGGCGTGCGTTTCTAGCAAATTCGCGCGCGCGCGCGCGCGTGTGTGTGTGTGTGTGTGTGTGTGTGTGTGTGTGTGTGTGTGTGTATGGGTGTGTGTGTGTGTGTGTGTATATGTCTGTGTGTTTGTGTTTGTGTTTGTGTTTGTGTTTGTGTGTGTGTGTGTGTGTGTGTACGAGCGCTGTGCGTCCCGGCACCACCTATCTATGCTATTTTTCATTTCAGGGGTTGTGTCATGTCTATTGCGTGGCCCGTCCGTAGGCCAGCACCCTACCAATCTGTTTCGCATGACTTCCGTTTAATTTGGCGCTTTGCCGCACCCACTTGCTGGTCTGGCAGCAATTGTAGTTTCCTCTGCGCTTCGCTGTCTGCCACCGTCGACCTCGCTTTCTGCGTTGCGACTTTCGCCAATGATGGGGGCCTTTGCATGCAAGTGGATGCCGCCGAGGACATGCGATTCCGGCAGTCTGCAATACACCGTCACGCCGCCTCCCTGGAGGAGCCCCGCGCAAAATGCTTACAGAAGACCCGAGTAGATGATGACAATTGGAGGAAAAAGAGGAGGAGCAGGAGAAGGAGAAGGAAGAGGCAAAAAATCAGGAGCAGCAGCAAAAAGGAGGACATAAGGAGGAGTGCTGAGAGGATGAGGGGGATGATGATGATGCTGCTGAGGATGATGCTCATGATGATGTTAATGATGATATGTTGACGATGATGATGATGCTGATGATGCTGATTGATGATGATGATGACGATGATGATGATGATGCTGATGATGATGATGCAGATGATGATGCTGATGATGCTGATGATGCTGATGATGACAATGACGGTTATGATGCTGATGATGATGCTGATGATGACAATGACGGTTATGATGATGCTGATGATGGTGCTGATGATGATGCTGATGATAATGATGATGACGATGTTGATGATGCTGATGCTGCTGCTGATGATGATGCTGATGGTGATGCTGATGATGATAATGATAATGATAATGATAATGATGATGATGAGGATGATGATGCTGATGATGATCATGATGATGATGATGCTGATGATGCTGACGCTGATGCTGCTGCTGATGATGAGGATGACGATGATGATGATGATGATGATGATGATCATGATAGTGATGACGATGACGATGATGATGATGATGATGCTGATGATGATGATGATGATGATGATGATGATGACGATGACGATGACGATGACGATGATGATGATGATGATGATGATGATGATGATGATGATGATGATGATGATGATGATGATGATGATGATGATGATGATGATGATGATGATGATGATGATGATGATGATGATGATGATGATGATGATGATGATGATGATGATGATGATGATGAGGTGGAGGAGGAGATGGAGGAGGAGGAGGGGGAGAAGGATGAGAAGGGAGAGGACGAGGAGGAGAGGGTGTGTGAAGCACGAGATGACTGATTGATTCATGGTAATTATATCTGGTTGGACGCGGTCTGTGACGAACTGAGTTGAGTGAGGGCGTCTGAAAGTGGGATCACTTCATCACTGAGTCTGTCTGGCAGCTGTGGGGCCGTCGCCGTGTGGGCCACACGGCAAGGTCGTACGGGGCAAGGGTAGGGCGGGCACGCAACGGAGGGACCACACAAGAGGGCCGCATGGGGGAGGGCTACAGAAAGGGCGCACAGAGGTGGCACGAGGAGGGGCTGCATGGGGGGACACGGCTGCACTCTCATTTTTGTCTCTGCTTGCGGGGCTTCAGGTAGCTGTTTCATCAGAGTGAGCGTGCCAGGATTCTCAATCGACTCTTTTGCGATCTAGCTGTTTGCCGATCGTCTGATGCTGAGGAGTTGTCTCTGGAACGCCTGTTGGCTCAAGACGCTTTTCGGGATTGACCAGTTTTGAAGCAGCGCGCGGTTGCGCTTCGCATGCGGATTCTTTTAGGATTGTAGCAGTATTTGGCGTAGCCGAGGGATGGGCTGCAGCAAAGGTTGCAGGAGGTGCCCTTGTTTTCGGTTTATTAAAGCGCGCCAAATGGCGGTATCGTGCCAGGGTTCAACCCCCTACTCGTTTCGGGGGACCGCCCGTCTTTGTTTAGATGGTGTGGCCGCCTTGGCCACACTGTCGGCGCGTGGCCAGGGTCCCGCGGTGACCCGGACTCGGTCCGAGCCCGTGCCCTTCCCTTCCCCTCTTTCTCCCTCTCTTCGTGCTTCTGTCTCTGCCTCCTGCGTCTCCCCATCCGCTCTATGGACTCCTCTGCGCTGCCTCTGCCGCGGGTGGACTGCCCGGCGCCGTCGCCCAGGCGGGCAGGCTGGCGCAGCCTCAGGAGAAGGCCGTGTACGGCAGCATCGGCAGGCCGTGGGCCGATCGCATGCAGTCTGGGCCGGTTACGTGCGATCTACGGGTACACGCCAGTCGTTGAAAGTAGGCATGTTTGGGTTGCCAGACCCCAATCTACTTCAGACGCCATCCTACTTCAAGAATCGATATGATTTTGCTGCGTCGTGTTATCCTCTGGGAGGGGCTGAACCCAATCTACTTTATCCGCCTTCCTACTCAATGTTTTACGTACTTCTTCCGACGGACGGGTAGGGTGGGTTCGCGTGGAGTCGACCGGCGGCGACCCCGCCGCTGGCGTTCAAAGTTGAACGCCTCCAGCGTCCCAGAATCGGTCGATGTTGAACGATCTGACGTTTCGGAAACGGCCTCTTAGATGGAAAGATCCCCGCGGTGTCAGAAGCCATCGCCGAAGTCGGCACGACACGAACCTGCCGTGTGCAAATCGGAAAGCGGTTCGCGAACGACGACGCCAGCAGTGACCCCGAGCGCATGCAGCACGGCCCAGAACACCGCGCGCCGACACCGACACCCAGAGCTTGAGAGCCTTTGATTCTTCTTCTCCAAATTGGTGCCTTGATACTTGACCTGACTTATCATGAGCTTGAGGCCACGGCCTCACCCACCTGGCCTGAGGTAGGCCCGGACATCAGTCTGCTGCGGTGGTCTGTTTGTTTGTTTGTCTGTCTGTCTGTCTGTCTGTCTGTCTGTCTGTCTGTCTGTCTGTCTGTCTGTCTGTTTGTCTGTCTTCTGTCTGTCTGTCTGTCTGTCTGTTTGTCTGTTAGTGCAGGAAAGATTTCGGATCCTTACGGTCCATATTCGCAGTGGAGGACCTGAGTGAAAGTGGCGAGGCCAAGTGGGGGTTGATGATTAGGGGAGGTGGATATCATGGCCGGGGTCCATGATGTCTCCTCAGATTTTAAGGCTCCGTTTCCTTTCTTCAAGACGTTGACTGTTCCTCCCTGGGCCACGCACGTTTCTCTGGCCATGGACTGCCCAGCCCCCCCTCTCGGACGACTTCCTTCTTGGATATCCCCGAGAAGGGGGAAGCTGTTGAGCAGCGCCAGCAGCTTCGCTTACACAGGTTTTGGGATCGTTTTAGAGTTGCACGCTGCGCCTATTAGCACTCATCACAGGTGTGCACGACTCGCATCGAATCCTGAGCTGAGCAAATCGCCAGGAAGTCTGTTGCGAGAGCATGAGTCCTGAGCAAATTGCGTGCAAGTCTCCAGCGGGAGCGTAAGTTTGGAGGAAGTCGCAGGGAAGTATTGCTCGAAAGCGCGAGCCTTTAGTACATCGGGACGAAGTCTTGAGCGAGAACGCGATTCCTCAGCAACCTTGTGGATGCCTCAGGTGTGTAACTCGTGTAGCAATTGACTCTGCGCTTTAGGCTTCTGACTGGAAGCTGGCTGGATTCTTCCAGATGACTTGTGCTATGACAGGTCTGTTTTCGCAGACCAAGGTGTTTATCTCTGTCTAGGAATGGTGTGTGTGTGAGAGAGATGTCGTCGACTATTCATGAGTGGAAGACGTACTTTGTGCTTTGCTGTGCACATGGTCACCCGAAGGTTCGAGCGCACATTGTCCGTAGTCCATAGGTTGTCTTTGACAAGGGTCAACTTGTGTAGTTGGACGTATGTGAACGCAACACTCGGATTGGACCAAGGTAGTACGAATGGCAGTGGCTAAGTATGATTGCTGGTAGCATAGTCCGTCTGCAAAGTGAAGCTTCAACGTGCTGATCAGGCCTACATGGGGTACCTGCGAGTCGGGGATACGCTCATCGATGCCCTTCAACCATCCGGTCTGCCCCTTTATTTTTGAGGCAATGGTCAGTTTTGATTTACAGGGCTGCGCATCTGGAATCTTCACATCCTTACTCGGGAGCATCAGTCTGCCAACTTCCCAAGTGCACTCCTCTGCTCACGAGTCATGAGTGCAAGCAGAGATCCCATTGATTGGGATATGGCTGAGTAACCTCCGTAATTGCCATCAGACCCCTGCCTGCTATGAGCGTTGGTAGAGCTCTCGATCAGGGTTCGGCCCGAACGGTGTTGTTCCTGCAGCAGAGGTGGAACGGAGACAGAGCGAAGGAGAACAAACACAGAACGAAGACGGAAAACACTGTTCAGGTCGAGCCTTGTTCTCGAGTGGTCGCAGCAGCCCGCGTGTGATGTTGGGCGACGAGATCTATACATATCCACTGCTCCCTGGCCAGGCCCATCCTGAACCCAGGAGCTGTGTATACGCCCTCCTGGCCAAGCCAGGAGGGCCTCGCGTATACACCGCTGCCGGGCTCACGATGGGCCTGGCCAGGGAGCAGTGGATATGTATAGACTTCGTCGCCCTATGATGATGCCCTCTACCTTCGCACGACGCCGGCACCACGCGGCCGCGTCACGCTGAGGCGGCCCTTCCCCTCGGTGGCCATCGTCTTCGCGTCCCCCGTGCCCCTGTCTGCTCCGCTCGTGCCCTCCTCCTCCTCCTCCTCCTCCTCCTCCTCCTCCTCCTACCCTCCTCCTCCTCCTCCTCCTCCTCCCCCTCCTCCTCCTTCTCCTCCTCCTCCCTCCTCCTCCTCCTCCTCCTCCTCCTCCTCTTCTCCTCCTCCTCCTCCTCCCTCCTCCTCCTCCTCCTCCTCCGCCTCCTCCTCCTCCTCCTCCTCTCCCTTCCCCTCCTTCTCCTCCCCCTCCCTCTCCTCCTCCTCCTCCTCCTCCTCCTCCTCCTCCTCCTCCTCCTCCTCCTCCTCCTCCTCCTCCCTCTCCCCCTCCTCCTACTCCTCATCCTCCGCCTCCTCCTCCTCCTCTTCCTCCCGTTGTTCTGAGGTCCTGGGCCCGGTGAGGGTCCGCGACGGCTTCGACCAGACGCAGAAGATGCGCACGGCGTGCGAGTGCGCCCCGCGGTGCCGCCTCCGCTGGCCAAGCCGCCGTGGTTCTTCCTGCCCGGGTTGGCGGGAGCTTGAGCAGAGTCGGGGCTCGACCTGAAGGGTGTGTCTCGGGGGCGGCAAAGATGGGGGTGAGGACTAGGGGGGGTGGATATCATGGCGGGGGCCATGATGTCTCCCCAGATCTCATGGCGCCTCTTCTTGTTTCAATACGTCCCCGCCTCCCACCCCTGGGCCGCGCACATGCCGCCGGCCATGATTTGCGCCCCCCCCTCTTGGACGCCCCCCTCTTGGCCGCCCCCGAGTGTCGTTTCAGCGAACTCGTGGGCCGTTCTCGTCTCGGTTTTGTTCTGCAGCGAAGGTGGAGCGAAGACGGAACCAGGAAAGCGGAAGCAGCGCGAAAGCGGAGAGCGCTGTTTAGAGGTCGAGCCTTGGCGGATCTCCCACTTCGTGTGGGCCTGGTGCAGTCATTTTTCGCAGACCGCGCTGCCTTCTTGCTCAGTGCTTGAAGGTTTTGACGTAGAAGACACATCGGAAGCCTACTGTCGAAGGCGCACACGGCGAACCACTGCTGCCCCTGCGCCCTCGAGAAAGGCGCGCGCACGCCAACGTGGAGCAGCTCCGTAGTGCCGCTGCCCTTTCGTATTCTCTTCCAGTCGTCGCGGAACGTTTTTGTCCAGATACTCCCGCGTTTGGGCTCTCGTTTTGCACGGGGGACTGCGAACTCCAACCCTCCCGCCTCCCTCCTGGCTCCTCCCGGCTCTTCCCTCCCAGCTCTTTTTCCCCAACCTCCTGCGTTGAGCTCCAGTTCGGACTAGAGCGCTGCCGCCTTCTCCTCCTGCCGTCTCCCTCTTCTTTCCACCTCCTGTCCGTGGGGGCCGCGAGCTGCGAAGTCACATTCGCCAGCTCTTGGGGAGTCCAACGGAGTGCGGTCCATGTGCGGACCCGAATATGACCTCGCTGTTCCCTGTGCGGGACTGTCGCCACTTTCGTGGGCTCTTGGGGGATCCATCGTAGTGCGGCCTTTCCCCTTTTGGGGCCTTCAGATGGGCGGCCCCTTGGGGTTGTTCTGCGGGCCTTTGGAGCCGGGTTGAAGCTTGGCACAGGCATCTTTAGGAAATAATTCTTGACGCCTCGCGTAACAGACGATGCCCAGAGGAGTTGCCTCGATCAGGGAAGTGGGCAGCACAAAGAGGACGGGTCCGTCTTGGAGCGTTCCTGGTTGCATCGGTGAGCCTCTTGGGGCCACTTTGGGGTCTCTTGGGAGCCTCTTGGAGGCCTTTTGGGCGCCTCTTGTGGCCTCCTGGGCTCCTGTTGGGGCCCTCTCGAAGCGCTCTTGGGAGCCTTGTGAGCGCTGTTAGGGCCATCTTGGAGGAGATCGATCAAAAAAGACGGGAGCTCCAACTACGACCCCCCTCGGGAGCCCTAACAACCGCCTCTTGGACCTCTCCTGGGGCGCTCTTGGAGCGATCTTGGGCGGTCTTGGGGCCGTCTTGGGGATCTCTTGGGCCCTCTTGGAGCTGTCTTGAGGCCTCGAAAGGCCATCGGAGGGGAAAAGGCGAGAAGGCAACATTCATTGATTTTCATTAGGCTTTGAAAGGATTTTGGTCTCTTGGCGGTCTCCTGGGGAGGCTCCGTGGCCACTCGGATTCGTCTTGGAGCGGTCTAGGTGCTTCTTGGAGCATTGGAGCATCTTGGAGGCCATTTTGAGCCATCTTGGGATATCTTGAGCCATTTTGTAAGTCACCTTGGTATCTCTGAGGCCCTCCTAGAGCCATCTTGGGCTATCTTGGACGCTCCAGCGCCGCGCGAGCCCCCCCTCCAGGTCCAGGGTAGGGGGAGGGCTCAAGACACCCTCCTAGATAGCAAGGCGTCTAGCTCCCCCCCCCCGCCCTCCCAGCATATACGTAACACCATAGCCTCAGCATGTTCAGCGTTCGTCTTTGGATGGGCAGCTACTGGGAACCAGAACCGACCCCATGTGCGCGACGCTGGGGCCCGAGTGTGCCAGGCACGTCTGGTGCACCAGATGCGCCACGTGCTCCACGTGCACCAGGTGTGCTGCATACTCCAGCCGCGCCAGGTGCGCCACGTTCGGGGCACGTGCAGAGTGTGCAAGGTGCGCCTGCGCACGTGACAGCACACATCGGGAATCAACACGGCCCCCACCATCCTCGTCGAAAACCAATGCCCATCATTATGTCTTGTGGGCCTGCGCACAGCAGGCCATACCCCACCACCCCCGCCGTCCCTGTTAAACACCACTTCACAATGATCGCGGGGTGGCTGCGCAAGATCCAGATTTATTCGCAATGTGCATTTTGTATTGTTTGATGATAGGGATGGCGGCCCTGCGCACAGCAGACAATATGCTGACACCCCCGCCGTCTCGGTCAAAAACCATACAAAATGCTCCCGGGCCTCACGAAGATGATTCAAGACTTTGCCCCAAGGTGTACTTTGTTGTGTTTTTGGACTTGGATGGTAGGGGGGGGCGCATCGGGTTGGTTGCGCATGCTCCGAATGTGGAGGCAGAGGGTTGGAAAAGCTCTCTAGACCACCTACGCCCAGAGGGCTGGTGGGATTACGGGAAGGTCCAGGGGCTGTCTTGGAACGCTCTTGGCCGTCTCGTGTTATTTTTGGGTGACCCGATCGCGACTGTGTGTTGTGTCTGCATGTGTCCTCACGCGGCTGTCATTTACGTGTCTGCTGCTTTTGTTCATCTGCTAGTACTGGCCATTAGGATATCAGGCGCATTCGAATGTGGCGGTGATGGCAGAGACGACCTTGCGGATCCAGTGCGAGCTGTTCGTGTGTGTGTTTGTGTGTGGGTGTCTTGACTTTCTTCTCCTCGACCCTCCGCGCGAGGCCGTGACCGCAAAAGTGTGTGTGTGTGTGTGTGTATCTGCGCGGAGCCCAACCTGGATCCTCACAGTTTTTCTACTCAGCAGCTCAGCCGCTTCCTCAACTCGGTGCCTGCGTGGGTCCTCCAGGCAGCTGCGCGACCTGACCGCGCCGCGGAGCCTGTCTCAGAAGCGCCTCTCAGGAACTCGTGGCTTAACATGCGCCCTCTGCCGCGTTGCTAGCGTTGCCCATGTTTGGACTCCACGTTGGGTACCGCCTCGTCGTCCCCCACACCCTTTGCCGGCTGTAACCCGCACGCTCAGGTCGAGCGCGTGCTCTCCGTACTCCCTTGGCGCTTCTATGTCACGCTGGTGGGTTCCTCCCCCTCTCACCGAGCGCGTTCCACTACTCGCAACGTGCCTGCTCGCAAACGTCCGAAAAACAAATGTCTGCTTCGACGTAATTTATCGTAGATCCGCCGTGGCGGATCTGGGCCATTTGCGAGCAGTCACTTTGCGAGTAGTGGAGCGCGCTCGTCTACCCTTGGTTTGCCGTCATGTCGCCGTCCACCGTCTCTCCGTGTTGCTGGCCATCGTTCCGAGGTCTCGGCGGTCGCGGGGCTGCGCGCGGTGGTTCCTGAATTGTTGCGCCTCGTCGCCCTGCGCGAGGCCGCGATCGCCAACATATTCTGTGTGTGAGTGTGTCGCGGCCGCCAGCTGCGCGCGCGCGTTCTCTTCTCCGACTTCGGGCGCCCTGTCGTTGCGCGCGGGGCCACGACGCCAACCATTGTCTGTGTCTGCATGTGTATACCTCTGGAATGAGCATGGGCGCGTCGTATCTCGACGCGTTGTCATCCCGATGTTCACGCTGCAAGCTGGTCCACACCTCGCCCACTGTCACGGCTTTGCAGTTTTGGTTGATTGGCCTGCACTCCTCCAGTCTGTTACCTGGCCGTGCTGTGTCAGCTTTTTATCCAATAACAGCTGGTGTGGCAGCCGTTACAGTTTTTTTTCCCGGACAGGGCACAGGCCCAGGGTTCTCTTTATCAGAATTCAGAGGATCTCTCAAGTGAAATGCTTGTTTTCACGTGCCCAGGTCTTGAGGATGTCTCGAGCGAGACGCTTGGTTTCACGCCTCCAGGTTGCCCAGGCAGAGGTCTAGCGCCAGGATTTGTTGAGGATGTCTCGAGCGAGACGCTTGGTTTCACGCGTCCTCGTCGCCCAGGCGGATGCCCAGCATGAGGATGTGTTGAGGAAGTCTCGATCGAGATGCTTGTTTGCACGTCTCCAGGTTGCCCAGGCGGATGCCTAGCATGAGGATGTGTTGAGAATGTCTCGAGAGATACGCTTGTTTTCACGTGTCCAGGTCGCCCCGGCGGATGTCTAACATGAAGATGTGTTGAGGATGTCTGGAGCGAGACGTTTGCTTTCACGTGTACAGGTCGCCCAGGCGGATGTCTAGAATGAGGAGGTGTTGAAAACGTCTCGAGCGAAACGCTTGTTTTCACGTGCCCAGGTCACCCAAGCGGACGTTTCACATGAAGATGTGTTGAGGATCTCTCGAGCGAACCCAGTGTTTTCACGTGTCCAGTTCGCCCAGGCGGATGTCTAGCATGAGAATGTGTTGAGAATGTGTTGAGCGAAACGCTTGTTTTCACGTGTCCAGGTCGCTCAGACGGATGTCTAGCATGAGGATTTCGACAGGATGTCTCAAGCGAAACGCTTGTCCCCAGCACGTTCCGTAGCGCGTCCCCTTGGCACGTCCCGCGGTGCGTCCCCATGGCACGTCCCCTGGCACGTCGCTTGGCGCGTCCCTTGAGACGTTCCGCGGCGCGTCCTCCTGGCATGGTCCCCTGTCAATTAGCTCTGGGGCAGCTACTATGTGTTCAGGCAGCTCGAGCTTAAGATCCAGATCAGTTCGGTCAGGACTCGGATGCAAAGGAGGACTCGATCCACGACGCTATGGAGCACAATCGCGGCATGGCACATCGCAATTCAGCACGGTGCAGCACAGCACAGCCCTCGGCAGGGTACATCAAGATCGATACACTCAGCATTGAATTTGCCCGTCACCCAATCAGGTGTTTTTGAAAACGTTGCCATGCATTACATTTCTGTATGCCTTTCCGGGTTCGTGGGTCGATCATGTTCGCGCTTCATTGT